GGCCGCCCCCGCGCCCGTCTTCCTTAAAAATTCACTGTCTCAGAATGATTCCTTCGTGATAAAGTTAAAGCCAGCGATTTCTATAAATACTTCGACATTTGGGGACCTGGTATAATAATAGATTATTAAAATTTCTAAAGCCTGATATTTTCTGAAACAACAGGAATCCAAAAAGGGATGAAAGCACAAGATTAAAGCACAGTTGTGCGTTCTCGCTACTGCTTCAGAGGTATCATTTTACATAAAGTAAAGTTTAACAGCAGATTTGATTAGTCAAGGATTATGCCTATCATTCTTGGATAAACTGGATAAATACAGTGTCTCCTTCTTTCTTCAGCCAGCAAGTTTTGTTGATTATTATGTTAGCATTTCTAATACCAGTTAGCTATTAACATTACAGTCAAATGTTAACTCGCAGCACAGGAGGAAACTGGTTACATGTTACCAGAGATACTAGAGGTTCACGACAAGCTGCTTGCAGTTTTGAAAACTTCCGAGGGAGAATAGAATCATCTCTAATGTTTGTGTTTTAACTTCTCTTAGTGTGATTTTTTTATTATTATTCCACAAATTTCCAGAATGGGCCAGTACCATTCCCAAGAGGAATTTTGAACACAGCATGGGCTAGAAGTGAAGGAAAATGGGGAGTGGCCAGGCCACCCATTTTCAGTGTTGGCAAATGTTTCCTGGCACTCGCCATCTTATTAGAAAAAGTATAGCCAATGGGATGGTTAATATGCCTACAAGTGCAATATGCAATAATCCAAGCCTTAAGTTATAAGAATGATAATGAATGATAATGAATAAGAATTATAGTGTTAGAATAGAAAACTCTAAAAGATAAAATGCACACTTCGTGTATTTCCATTTCAGGAATGGAAAAGAGTTCCAAACAGCATTTAAAATAACCACCTTACTGTAGCAGATTTTTTTTTAAATTCTGTGCTCTAGTTGGCTTGGAAATAGTGTATAAGATGTGCTTCTCTTATTTGATCAAATGTGAGAAGTTTTAGGCATGTTAACTTTACTTAATCACTGGTTTTTTTTCAGAATTTATAGAGGAGAGTGATCAAAAATAGCTGAATTTCTTTGATCCTCTCTGCCTAGGAAGATGCAACCCATTTCAGATAACCCTATTTTCCAGTCAGGATGCAGTGGATCCCATGAAACACAGGGTAAGTTTGCTCTGTTCATTTCAGAAGAGATACATTTATATAAAAGTAGACTCCATGGTTTCAAAGGAGTTGCCCAGATGATCAAAGAAGTCATAATTGGAAAATGAAAATGTCTTAAAAGATTTGGTAAGATACTTATCTCTGCTGGAAGCTTCCCCATACAGAACCAAAGAATTTAAACCATGGATGATGATAATTGTTTATGTGCCATCAACTGATGTTGACTTCAAAGTAGTTGTGCACGAAAATACCATAAGGTGTTTGCATACATACTTGTAAAATTTCTTGCAAAGTCGTTCAATTTTGAGCAGTATTTGCCAGGCTGAATTTGTATGAACCCTGTATTTATGAAATAAGGAAATAATGCCACTCCTATCAATCAGCACTGCTGCATGCATTATCTCTGTGCTTTCTTACACTTTCAGAAATACATACTACTTTTTCATTGTTTTTTCTGTGTGATTGCTGGAGGCTATAGAAGTTTCACAGACGCTCAGAGCCAGGAAATGGATGGAAAACGTGATGAAAGTTTAGCAAAAACCTAACTAGAAGCCAAGCTATCATAACAGCTAGACTGCAAATTCTAAAATATAAGAATGCCATTTCTGATATCCTTAAATGAGAATCCATATATGGAATTGTTAGAAGTGGGGGTCCTCAATGAAGAATGTCATGAACATTTCCGAAGAAACCCTATTCTGTCCATACAAAAGGTTATACTAACTCTAGTGAATTCTGTGATTAATGTTTGCATGTTTGTTCTCTTTTTTTTTTCTTTGTGAAAGATGATTACACTTTCTTAATCTGCTAAATGATTCTGAGTTCTTATCTAAGATTCCTGAAAGTTTTGTGTTTTCCCTGCATACCCACGGTAGCAGAATGTGTTCTTTTCTGGGGGCGTCCGTGCCATGCAGGGTGAATCTGCTCCCTGGGTGCCGCGGGGTGCCCAGGCTACGTCCTCATTCTATGGGTGGCTCTTGTTTTCTTCTAACCTCCATAGCTGTCTGGTTCCTACTGAAAGGAAAACTGGCTGCAGGGGATGCAAGCAGTGAAATTCAGGCTGATTGGGTTGATTAACCCCATTCAGCACCAAGAAACAGCAAAATGTTTAAGTTCTACAACTGATCTGTAAATTTGCAAGGCTCAACATGGGAATCTTAGTATGATTTCTGAAAAACAAAAAGCTGTTTTTGTTAAATGAATCTTTATCAGTGCAGAAGGAATGATTAAACACCATGTAGAGATGATTAGGAATTTATTCATTTATTTATTTTTAATCCATGGTGCAACTTCATTCAGATATTTTGGTCTTGCTGATCATGTAATTTAAGAAGAAAAATTCCCAACGGTTGTAGAACTGGAAAAGTTTCAGAGAAAGGCAGTAAAGGCAATTAAGATTTGAAGGGAAAATGTATGGAGAGATTGCAATAAAATGAGATGCAATGTGGTGCAATCAAATCAGTTGATGTCATAATGGGATTCTCTTCTGTCAAACTAATTAACTAAAAGGTTAGCAAGTAAGTTGAAAATTAAAAGCATGTAAAAGGAAGTACATCTTTTAAAGGTGCCGTAGCACCAGTGGCAATACACTTCTTTTGGAAGTTGGTGAAGTTAACACCATGAAGTTAATGATAAAGAGCTCTCACATGAAGTGATATTCGCATATAGCGAAGCCTAGCGATAGGTCTGGAATTGGCCAGGCATCGATGCTGCTTTCAAGGTTTATGTACCGTTTTGGAGTACAGAACAGCGAGGGCTGGTCAGCAAAGGGCCGTGCTTGCGCAACGCTGCTTTCGTGCCGCGCATCCCGCTGGGCTCGCCGCCCCAGCACGGATTTCCCGGAAGGGCAGAGGGCCGAGCGGGAGCGGAGGGGCCGCCCTTCGCCTTTCGCTTTCGGTTCTGGCTCCGGCCGGGCGCGGGCGCGCAAAAGGAAACGAAATGCTTTGTTTTCAGAATTAAGACAATCATTAATTCTCAATTGCAGCTTCACTTTGCAGAATTAGGGTACTCTGACCTGGAGCTGTAGTGTTGTATATGAACCACAAATTAAAATTTTTGTGGTGTAAAATTTTTTTGAGTGCAAAATTCAATAGTAGCGAGAAGTTGGAGCCAATTTTCTGATGGCCAAGTATTTTGGACCTTTTTTCCTTATATGTCTATATATGTTCATTTGTTTATCTCTCTGAGAGAGGAGGAGTTGTTGATTATAATATGACATTCCTCTTGCATGCAACTTCTGCCTGGCTGTCAAAGGAAAGATTTTTTTTTTTTTTTTTCCCATGTTTTTAACTGCTCCGTCCTCCCTACCCACCAAGTTCCATTTAAAGAGTTCTTGCTATTAAATTACTTTACCTTGTGTTTTTTTTTAGCGTAGTTCTTTATCTTTTCTTCTGCTTACCTGAGTTGTTACTATTGCCATAGGATTATTTTCTTTGTGTGTTAATGGGGGACTGACAATAATCACATTTTTAAAGAATATACTAAAATGCCTCCCCGGCCTCCTCTGAAAGAACTCATTTTAATTCTGTCAGGAGAAGAGTGACAGATTTTTTTTTTCTTCTGATTCAGTCATCAATTCAGCTTTTTCTTGCCACATTCTCATTAATGACTAGTTTCACTTATAAAAGATGTAATTAAAATGTGTTAATAGGTTTTGAAAAACAGTTGCAAGTCAACTGCTTTTGTTAGAAAGCTACCGTGCTTTCCTACAGGCACCAGATTTATATTTTACGTCACTGTATTAGCCTGTCAGAATTAAGGGCTGGTTCTTCACCATGCTTTATAGCTTTATAGAGACCCTTTCTTCCTTTTGTCTTTTTTTTTTTTTCCCTCCTCAGAGATTGTGCCAAAATGGATCGAGACGCCATGGCCGAGATCAACCATTATTGTCAAAAGAATAATTTTACATTGGACTATAGTGATGTCAAAGCGACTGGCCCTGCTCATTGTCCTGAGTAAGTTCAGAAAGCTAATGAATTTGCGAACACTTAATGCAAAGCACAGAGAAGCTAACGCTTGAGATCAGTATCTTTTTAGGACCTATGGAAAGTACTGTGCTGTAAGTATGTTACAAGTGTGTCATGGAGAAGGTTGGGGGTTATAGCAATATTTCAGTTTATGATACATGCTAAATTAAATGCTTTTTATTATTTAGTTTTACAAGGGTGTTTATCGGAGTTATTTTTGATTGCTGGTAATTCTAAACACTTGCATGAGGGTTAGGTGAATTATGTGCAACTTTTTGAATGTTTGTTAAAGGAGAAGGGTCTTTTTCATTAAAACTCTTCCTAATAGTCAGGATGTCTCTTCTCAAGTGCAGTCTTTCACATTGCCAGTTAGCACTGTTCATGCTAGGCTATTATTAGACCTAAACATTCACAACATTCACAACCATAGTTCGGATAACTGCCTTGTGTTTGCAGGTCTCGTGCAGTGGGATAGTGGTATGCAGGAAGAGTCTGGGTGACTCGGGCTGTGCTGAGGAGCATGGTGTGAAGAGCCTCGCTACAGGGAGCTGGGGCTGGGTGTCCCTTGGGGATCCCTGTGGTGGCTCAGCTCTGGCTGCTGGTGGAGTGGGTGCCCACTGCTGGTCCAGGCTGCCTCCGGAGCCCTTCTGTGCATTGTCCCACCTCACGAGCCCTCCTGGAGCTGTCTGGCAAAGGCCACGGAGGTGCCTGCTGCCCCGTCCCCGGCTAGGGTGCTGTAGCGGCTGCTGCTGCCATGTCTGCCCGTGTTGGTGCTGAACATGGCCCAAGTCGCTTGAGAGAGCCCAGACTGTTGGTGCTCTGAGCTGCTCCAGTGACTCTGCACTGCAATGTTCCTAGCCTGGCAACGCAGCCTGTGGCCAGCCAGGTCGAGTCTGGACAGGGCTGTGAACTTGGGGTCCATGGTGGTTAAACCTGACTTTTGGGGTCAATATGTCATTAAAGGGGAGGGGAACTTGGAGAGCATGGTTTTATTAGAAAATAAAGCTGGGATCTTGAAAATAAGTCAATTCTTGAAATCATTGCCTCTTCATGAAGCAGATTCTAACACAGAGAAGCTCATGCTGTTCTACCTAAACTGCTTCTTTGGGTGGAATCTTTCTTTTTTAGCTTATTAATTAATCAATTAATTAATTAGCTTCAGTAACTTTATGCTGATCTGCAATCTAAAGAACGGATATATATTGAGGCCATAGTGAAACTGTCACTTCAACCTGATAAAAGTCAGTGTTGCTGCCGAAAGCTCCCCTCCCCTCACCTTACCTCCCTGCCTCGCCTCTCCTCTCCTCTCCTTGCCTTGCCTCGCCTCTTTCCTGGGCTGGCAGTTTCGTGGTTTGTCTTATGGTGTAGCTGCATGAACACTTGTGCAAGGGAAATGGTTGAGGTTGAGAAATGGTGGTAAGAGGCTATATGTGAGTGGGGATTTTTGTTTGTTTTGTTTTGTTTTTTTAAGTGAGAGCAGAGGGTTATGTTGGAGCCGAAGTGACTATACAATATTTTTCGGAATATCTCTCTCTCTCTTTTTTTTTTTTTTTTTTTTTTTTTGAGAATGGGTAAAAAGAGACTGCCTTTAACTTTTCGTCGCATGAAGTCTCACACATATTTTTCGGCACCTACTAAATACTGCATGTAGCAGTATATCAAAGGTGTGCGTAATGACTCTTCTGTATCTGTGAAACCTAAGCTAGCAAATCTTTTCCTTCCGTATAGTTTTGCAGTGCTGAGATAAGTCCTGGTGTTAGGATTTCACAGGCCTGCCTTTAATAATGCCAATTTGATATGCTCTTTAGTGATTTCACTTTTAAAAAGCAGTTCATCATCTAACAGAAATATGGGTTAAAATAAGCAAAGAGTATGCATTTGTGATTAGGGAGGAAGCATAATTATTTAGATTTTTTTAAAATTATGATAATCAGAAGCTTATATAATAACACACATGAATGTTCAAATACCTTCATGATTAATCTATAGTGTGTATATATATACATTTTTTAAGTTGAACCCAAATGAAATTGAATAGGACAAAGTGTAAGAATGTTTCTATAAGTTTTCTTCATTGCAGATTTACAGTCGTGGTTAAAATAGGTGACGAAAAATATGGTGAAGGTACTGGTAAATCTAAGAAAGAAGCAAGAGCAGCAGCAGCAGAAAAAACATGGGAGATGATAGAAGAAAAGGTGAGTAAAGTGCAAGATTTTTGTTAGTAAAGGTTGAAGGTGAATCACTAAAAGTAGTGAATAAAATATGGTTGCCCCTCTGCCAGAAGAAGGTGATTCTGCTGAGGATTTAGAATTTATTACACTCTTTAGTTAGTAATCCAGATTTTAAGAGTTATCACACTGATGGTATTTATTTATGGTATTTTTTTAACAGACTTAGAGTTAGATTGGCAGTCGTCCTGATTCCATGTACCAAAGCCTATAGGTGTCTCATTTTTCACATGGACAGTTGCATGTTCATCTAGCAATAGGAACATTTGCTTTTAGTAACCATCTATTATCCTAATTTTTAATACCTCTCAGATTCTGCTTCTGCAGAAGTTGGTATAAGCTGGATGTGAGTGGAAAAATGCTCCCTGTGACAGGGCCTTGTTTTTCCCTGCTCAGAGGGAAGTTAGGTAAATGCTTTTGACCGATAACAACTTCTATAGAGAACCTCACTCTTCCTTGCTCTCCTTTAGTACTAGGCACCTTTGACACTACAGCTTTTCGAAGTGATTTTGTTAAGCTTTTTTCTTTTCTTCTTCTTCTTTTTTTTTTTTTTTTCAGAAGAGAAGGGCGTTGCAGTTTGATGGTGGGGCAAATTTGGTAAGAGATGAATCCCCTTGTGTTCCAGCTGATCCTCAGAGCTTTAGAGGGACTAGGGACCCATCTCCAAATAGAGATAGCAAATTCTGTGGTAGCTGTAGGCCTGACTCTGGCAGCACTGGATTTACCAACAGTCTGTTGACTGTAGGTCTGGCTAGGCTGCCTTCAAGACAATGAGTCAAGTTCACAAATAGCAGGATGTATTCAAATGCTGTATTTACTAAGCACATTTCTGATGTCAGTACAGAAAATTCTCTACTGCATGTGGGGTTCTTAGCTAGCTCTAATGTACAAATGTGCAATCATCACTCAGGAAGATAGGAGAGGTCCCTCAACCTCGAGTGGTCTCCTCAGGAGGCGTCATGACCGAGGAGAAAGCTCTCCACTGAAGACCTACTGCTTCCAAGGAGAACTTAGCTCTAACTTGGAAAGCCCTGGGTTAATTTTAGACACTAGTACAATTGGGATGTGGTCAATGTTTTCCTCCTTTCTGCGACTAGTGTTGTTTGTGATTAGATAAGCAGCAGGTGCAAGACAGTCGAAGTGCACCCGTTTTGTGGTAAACTGTGCCCATCTCACACAGAATTTTCCTCTTCTGCAGGACCAAGGGGCTCACGTGCAACTACTACAAAGGCATCCATCTGAAATCAGTTCCACATCTGGAGAATCTAGTAGTTCCCATGAAATGTCAAATATGTCTGACTCAGAGTAAGTTGTATTCATTGACAGTATAACACTAACAAAGTTTGTTTACTTATTTAGAGGATCATGTGATCTAATTTTAATCTGAGTTGCTCATTGTTGCTTTATTGCAGTATCAAGAAGTTTAAGTTTGTATTTCTTTCAATTCAGAGGAGAATTCATTATGATTGTGTGGGTTTGTCTGACCAGAATCTTTACAATTAGATTATAATGGTTTTAGAGTTTTCTGATATAGTTTGGCACAAATAATTCTTTCAGAAGCATTTCTATTGGGACATAAACAAAATAATGTTACTCTATTCAGCAGCCTTATTTCATTGCATTTTTATCGCGTATGTTCCTGTGAACTTGGTATAATTTAATTTCTGTACTCTTCTGTGCTCTACATTTTGATTTATTTTGTATTTTTTCCTTTTCTTTCTCTGTAAATCTTCATCCCTACTGAAGGGAAAATTTGCTTACTATGAGGAAATTAATGTGCTTAATGTTTCATTTGTGATTTGGGAATCTTAGATCAGGCTGTTTGTGCCTAACAGTGGCTTAAGCAGCGGTGCTTCTACTCCTTCCTTTATCTTCCTTGTGCCGTTGTAAAGTAGGGTGATGCATCAAATGCCAGAGAAGGCTGTGCTGCACTGCATGGGAATGAACCTCTGAACTTAATGTTTTTCACTGAAGGATGAAATCTTTTTCATATTTTATTGTAAAATACTGCTGTTTTATTAGCTGTTTGGGATTAAGTTTGGTAGTTTAAATCAATTGTGATTATTCATGCTTTTTTATGACTTTCTCAAAAATTACACCCAGTTAAGGCTTCCTTTGGCATAGTAGCAAACATTGTAGTTCTTGTTTGAGAATATGTTTTTTCTACCTAAATCCAGTCTATTATGTTTCCACCGTAGTGGTACTTATTTTGAAAGCTCAGCTGCAAGCTTGGTAGAAGAAGTGAAAAACATGGCAATAACTGAAAAGCCTATGCCTGCTCAGGTACAGTACAAAAGTGGTTTTACTCATGATTACATTTAAACCCTGAATAGAGCAAGCTTCTGGTCAAAGTGTAGCAGCACTTTGCACCTTATGCACTGAAGTCATCACTAGAGAATATATGTGGGTTTGCTTCCCCCTCCAAAATATTCGGTGCTTTATTAGTGAACCACTAGTTGTTTCTTTGTGTACCGTACCAGTATTATGTACTGTTAACCTTTTAAACTAATTTTATTTAATGAAAATATTCTGCATATCTTAGTTACGTATCATAGTTACATGTTGAAATATCCTGGATATATAAGTGTTTTTTCCTCTTTTTTTTTGTGTAGAAAAACGCTCGATGTTCTGCTCAGAAATCCCCAGGGTATGTGTTTATTTCTAGATAGCTCTTTTCCATAAATCATCTTTTAAACCACTTTAGTGTTTTCTGTATTTAACATAAAAATAGTACATTTCTCTTGTCACATATTATAAAAACAAATCATAATAAAATTTGCTTTTATCTTTGTTAAAGAAGACTTTTTTTGCTGGCACCTGCGTTTGATAAGGCAGTAAACAAGAGAGATAAAAATGCATACTCTGTGGATGAAAGGTGAGAAAGAATTTTTAATGTGAATCAAAGAATATTTTACTAAGATTTGTTTGGCAATTACAGTTCGTAGTGGGGAAAATACTGCTGTAAAAGTAACTTTCAAAGAAAATTCACTATTGAGGTTTTCTGTTTGTTTGTTTGTTTTTTAACATACTGCAACTGATATGGAGTGATATTTGATACTTACAACCAGAAGTCATTTGTGTAAAGGTATAAAAATAATTACCCTACAGTCTGTCATGGCAGGTTCATATATTAAAGTGTAACAGGTAACAAGTTCTTCTGGCACAGTGAATGAAGTGATACCTATAGCCCTTAATATTAATAGGAATTTTCCTCGATGCATTGGCTTATGGCAGCCTTCTGTCACTATCCTTCCTGTTTCATTTCACAAATTGTCTTTGTGACATAGCAAGCTTTGCTATAATAAAAAAAAAATCTAATATCTAAAATAGGGGAGAAAGAAGATTTTTGTTTCATACATAGAAGGATGGGAAAAATTCTACCATCCAGAAAACTTCCAGTAAATCTGTACTAAAGTGTAGTGTAGCTTGTGATCAGTTTGATAGCAAGTCTGATGACTTTTATGTGTATTATAACAGAAAAGGAAAATAAAGGGGCCAGTGAGAATCTGTTGTTTTCCTAAAGTTACATCAGATAAATGTTGCATTATCTTACAGACTAATTCTGCTATTCTAAATAAGGAGAAATATTCTAAATAAGGATAATTTTATTAAAGCCTGTTAAATGAATCATACTGAGGTTGCCTAAAGAGCATATAGTGAAGCAGGAGCTTTGAGCTCTTTGGCCTTAAATGTTGAAGAAAATTTTAAGTGACGCGTGAATGTGTGTCACAAGTAGTGTTTTTTTTTTTTTTTTTTGTTAGAAATTAATATGACTTTAAATGTGAGTGCGTATTTTGCATGTTCGAGGGGCAGGTTAAAGCATTCTTTTCACTATCCAAATAAAGGAATAGTTTCTTCATTTATTGAAGCAATGCAGAGTAACTAATGAAGCAGCTTTATTCTTGCTGTCATTTGAAACAAACAAACAAAAAAAAAGTCATGAAGCTTCATCTACAAATGTGTAAAACTGAAAATTGGAGATTGGAGATCCTGGTTGGTGGAAAAAACGTTGATGGACAGCGTGGATAGAAACACATTCTTCTTGATACATGAGCTTGAAATAGACTGAGAAACAACTTGAAAATTGTCATGTTAGTGGAAAGGATGTTCCTCAAGTTAAAAGTTATAAAGTTACTGTGAAAGATGCTTGGACTAAATTCTCAGAAACATTGCCGTAGTGATGCACTTTCATGCAACCACAACTAAGATATGTGTATGATCCCACCGAAGTCTATTTTGCCTGGCATAGAACTAGACTTAATCCTAGAATCTGAATGAGTTTCTTATCCATAGGTGGTAGTCACTCAGATGTAATCTATCTCAGTTTACCTATATTTAAATTATTAAATATTTACTAAAACTATTGTTGGAACTCAGTCTTTCTGATTTCAGGTGAGAGCTGTAACTGCAGGTAATAGGGGCATTTTCCCTTGTTATTATTTTTTAACTTATTCCTCTATATTTGTTTGTATATTTTTTATTTTATTTGTGTCATATCTGAACAGCTGAGTGATCTTTGTAGAACGGTATTTCAGCAGGTGGATTACACTTTGCAGAATCATTCTTGCATCTCCTAAGTTTAATGATAATTATATCAATATATCATGATATATGATATCATGATGTATAATGATAAAAAGCACTTAAATTACTTTTTGATTCTTAAAGATTTCTTAAGGATTTTGAAAATATAGTGCCTATTGGTGAAGGTGGTTTTGGGAACGTCTTCAAAGCAACAGCAAGGATGGCTGGAATAACCTATGCAGTCAAACGAGTCAGGGTCGCGGAGTAAGTACTGTATATTTACTTGTATTATTTAACTTAGGACATTATATTTTGATAATTTAATTATTTTATCTCTTTAATAATTCTTATACTGTGTAAACAATTTCCACTACTAATAGACCATTTTTCTGGTTAAACTCTGTTTTCTTTATTTCTAAGTGAAACTGAAAATAACATGCAACTCTGCAGATTTTTATATGCTGTGGATTAATTTTAGGTGCAGCTATAAGAAAATGATTTAGATTTTACTTCCTGTGAACAAAGTTTTACAGAATTTTTATTATTTATGGTTATTATTGCTTGAAGAAAACTTGCTGATTTATAAAACATTGAAAGCAGTGTTGCCTTGGCAGGTTACATTGTCTGAAAATGTCCTTATCGTTGTAATATGACTATAACTGAAGAAAGCGGGGTGTGGGGGGGAAGAAAACAGTACATTTTTGTTTATGTAATTGAAACATGCTTCTTATATGACCATCTTTGTTTTGGACACAGTGTTACTTGTCCTTTATAAAACCCAAAAGAGAACCATTATCTTAAATTTTTTAAAGTAATTTTCTATAGCTAGTATCTAGTTATGTATTTTATCAGCAGCTAAAAAAAATGTAATTTCTTTTAATCTATACAGAAAATTCTAAGCTGTACCTTTAAAATTATAATACCTTGTATTTGGAGAAAATTGTCCTTTACTATCTCGCTGCCCTTCTTCAAATTGTTGTCCCCTCGCAATTATACATTATTTTAATTTGTGTTACAATACTGAGAACTATACTAAAAACCATTGTACTGATTCTTCAAATACAGGCTGCTGGTTTGATGATAGGTTTGCTGATACTTTACTAGGCGATCCTGTGGCAGCCAAAGTAGGCCAGATTTAGTAATAGGTTTTTGCTGACTTCTTGGCTTAGTGCCTGTTTGCTACATTGTGTCTTGCTATTCAGTGTAATTATGGATTGGACTGTCTTTTTTTTCCTGCTGGCTCTCTTGATTGGGGCTTGTGTATCTTGTCAGGTTGAAATATTTCAGCATCTGGAATAACTGAGCAGATGATAAGAAAACATAGTTTTTAATTACTTTTTTTTTTCAGATTAATATAAAACTATGGAGCTTCCACCGTTCCATGATAGCATGTCTCTCATTGCATTTACAATTCAGTTTTCGTAGGGAAATGACATTTGTTTGAGACCTTTTTTTTCCTCTTCTTTTGAGTAGGAATGTAATGCGTGAAATCAAAGGACTTGCATGTCTCAACCATGAAAACATTGTGCGCTATTACAGCAGCTGGAAAGGGGAGGACTACGTACCATGTCCGGACGCAAGGTAGTTACAAGGCAACTTTGTCAAATGAAACAGCAGCTCCCAGATTGCAATCACAAACTTCTTTTTTTCCATAATGAAGATTGTGTGTAAAGTTGAAGGCTGATGATTGCTTACAAATCTTTCAACAAACAGAGAGGTGCACACATGCTTGCTGTTAGAAGAAAAGGCTTGGTATTCTTCAGCAGCAGTATATTAATATCTCTTGCTTTTGGTGTGTTACATAACTTTTATCTCTCCTCTGTCTTAATACAAACTTAGTGACTATGTAGGAGCGTAAGATTGTAGAACTCAAAATTTGAGGCTAGAAACAACAGCAGAAATTAAAAAAAAATCCATCAGTTGGCTGCCAAATTCTTAATTCAGAAATTGTCTGTTTCTTGAAAGTAGTGGTCATCCAGCAGCTCTCATAAATTGTCCAAATTAATGTTTTTACTGTGATGTCTGATACAATATTGTCTGTGCTGTTGAGCACAGAAATACAGACTGAAATGTTCTTTCAATTAGAGGTAGTTTTCAGCCCTAAGACTTCCAGCAGGACAAAAGTGAGAAATTTACTGGTAAATTTCTACTGCACATCTTTGTCACTAGCAGTAGATTGATACCCTTCAGGTAGGTTATCATCCTTACCTAAAATATTAATAGATTAAAAATTAGACTTAGTATTTGTTTAGTGTGCTCAAAAAAAAGCAAATAGGAATAACATGGCGGGGAGGAGAAAAAGCAACTGTTAATATAACAGTATTAGCGGTTAACGTAACAGTATTAATGGAGGGGAAGAAAAAAAAAGAAAAATCCTCAAAGCTGAGGGCCCAAACTGAAATTCCACTTACTGCCTTGACCTCAGGGCTACAGAATAATGAGCCACTTACTTACTTAATCTTTCTTCTTTCCATACCTCAGAATGCCTTATTCCAAGGCACTGAGAATGTACTTACTTTTCCTGTTTGCGCTGTGGTACGTCCCCACTGTTCTGCTACCCTGCCCCTTTCCATCTCTGCCCTCAGCCTGTCCTATGCTCTGGTGGTGAGGGAGCCCTTCTGGAAAGCATGAGGCTGTCAGGTTGACTAATATATTTAACATAGTTTCCAGTTTTCACAATTGCTGCTCTAACTCACCGTCTTATGTAAAAGGTGGTTACCACACTCCCTTCTCCAAGGGACAAAGCTTAAAGGAATGTGATCATGGGATATTTGGGGCGGTAGAGGAAACATCATGCTGGGTGTGTTGAGCAGTATAGAAAAGTGGAGTTGTTCCTAGTGGGCAAGGCAGGAGACAAGGCTTGTGCTATTTCTTGCTCTGTAGACTGTGCCTCTTGATAGGAGGGGAGCAGAATTTGGGCACTCAGAAAATTTTCAGTGCAAGAAGTTAAGTCTTCCAAGGGTAAACAGGAACTGAATAGAGACTCTATGGTTTGCAGTTTTACTTATTTAGATCTAGTGCAAATTGATCTGGGCCTTGCACTTTTTCTGGAGAACTCCACAAATAATATGAATTAAAAAAAAAAAAGGAGCAAAAGAATCATTGATGCAGTAGCAGCTTGGGAGGAATTGTATTTTGCTATTTTAATGTAGTTGTATAATTTGCTTTTGCAGCCAGGAGCACCCCTCAAAATGTGAATGTATTTTTATCCAAATGGAATTTTGTGAAAAAGGGACATTGGAAAACTGGGTTGAAGATAATCGGGGAAAACGAAGGTATCAGGAGATGGCACAAGACAAATTTTTACAAGTAGTGAAAGGAGTAGAATATATTCATTCTAAAGGGTTAATTCATCGAGACCTCAAGGTAAGTAGAACAGATCATTTTTTAAGTGGAAAAATGTAAGTAGGACTTACTTGTGATTCAGACAACACTAAATTATTGTAGTCTTTGCTTATTCTAAGATGTGCCTTAGAAGTGTGCTTCTTCTGATGTCATCAGTAATTTTTTCCAGCAAACTGATTATATTCTAATATCAGAAGGGTAAACTAAAGGATTTCAGAATACACTAACAGGGCATACAAGACTTCCTCTTGGAGAAAGTAATAGTAACTTAATTTAGTAATAAAATTATATAAAATATTTTTCTTGTGGTAACAGTGGCAGTTAATCAACCTGCTTACCAATTTTATTTAAAAAAAGTCTCAAAGATTGAAATTGGGATGTTTGCTCTTGTCATATAATAAAGAGATAATATGTGCTGCATTTTATAACTGCATTTTATAACTACATATTCTAGTTGTTGTTGTATCCTATATACATATGTGTACGCTACCTTTTTGGATAGAGGTGCCCAGAGGGGTTCTGGAGTCCCCTTCTCTGGGGACCTTCAAATCCTGCCTGGATGCAGAAGGGTTGTGTCACATGCTCTAGGTGTCCCTGCATGAGCAGGGGCATTGGACTAGATCATCTCCAAAGGTCCTTTCCAACCTTCATCATTCTGTGATTTATATTGAAATACATTTTTTTTTAAAAGGACAAAATTGCAAGCATTTTCAAGGTTTCAGATGCTGGTTCTGCTGCTGCTTACAGCGTTTTAAATCTGACCCTGAACAGGCACTGATACAATTTTTAATTATATATTCGAATGACATGTTTTATACAGAATTAATATTGGTCACTTCTAGAGCAACTCATTAGCATGGTGGTGTTTGTAAGAACTAAAAACAGCTGTAGTGAATTGCACTATTAGTTTAGTTTTAGTAAATAACTTTAGTTATTTACAGCTTTAACAAATTTCAAAATGGGAAATTCAAAGAAACTGTAACACCTGAAAGTGATAGGCAGCTGCCTATGCTAAGCCCTAGCTCACTTTTAATCCTGCTGTGAAACCCTATATTTGAGTGGAGCTCTATGCAAGCCTGAAGGCTCTGCCCAAGTGTATCCCAGGACCAGGATCTACTGTTATAAAGCACTTTTGAAAGTGAAATGCTCTATGCCAAATGTATCTGAGGAGAGAGAAAACATGCCCTGAGCTAGTGAAAGATGCTATGGTTGCTGTAGTATGTGCTATTTTAAATTTGATTTGTGTGTTTGAAAAAGTTAAATGAATATTCTTTTGTTCCCTCTCCCCTGCATTTGTTTCGTAGTGCTAATTTCTGTGGAAAAAAATACCTAATTTTGTGAGGAGCATTTCTGTGGTGCTTATGGTGATGAATTTGTCATATGACATTTTTTTTTTAATTTCTTCCCCCTCTCCATAGCCTCAGAATATATTCATATCAAATGAAGATAAAATAAAAATAGGTGATTTTGGACTTGTGACTTCCGAGTCCTATCAGCGTCTGACAGAAAACCGAGGAACAACGTCGTACATGGCACCAGAACAGGTAACAGTGTGTATATAGATAAGGCTATATAAGGGTTCCTTTTACAAGGCTTTTGGTTATGCTCCACCTTGACGCAGATAATAAACCAGGCCTAAAGTACCTTAGTTTAACTGTAGTAAATTACAAGCTTTGAAGCTTTTGTGTAAGTAAGTAATGCTCTTGCAAAGACAGGATATCTCCCATGAGTTCAATTTGAGTTGAAGTAACTCAGGACTTGTGCAAATTGTGGCGTTTGAGTTCCTGTGTTTCATTTCCAGAAAGATGTTTGCCTGTCTTGTCCTATAGGTTAATAGCAGTGTTAATTTTAGTGTTTCAGTGTGCCATAACACAAATTATTTAACAGGTCTTTGTCAGGGAGGATTAAGGACTAATTTGAAGATCAAGTGTTAGTTCCAGGCCTGTAGCATTAGATAAATTTTCTACTGATTTCAAAATGTTCAAGGTGCTATTAAGCTGAATTTGATGGAAATAAATATATAAGAATGCATTACAACTTGTGCCTATGTTTTTCTTGTTGCAATCTTTGTAGTTTGGAGCTGCATATGGAAAGGAAGTAGATATTTATGCACTAGGATTAATATGGTTTGAAATTCTTTCCGCATTGGCTAGTCATCATGAGAAATGCAGAGTAAGTAATCTTTATTATTTTTTTAAAGAGCAAACTGCACATTAACTCATGGATTTCCCATGCTGCTTGTGTCTCATGCTGCGTAGATGCCAGAAGGAAACTCTGTGTCTCGAGTACTGTCTCTGCTTATTTGCATTTCCCCTGTGCAAGGCCTGTAAGTCTATCACACTTCAGTTAGTTAGTTAAAATCAAGCAACTCTGGTAAAGAAATACTGTTTTTATTATACTTGTCTTCTGAGACACAAACAAATTAAGGCTTAAGTGTACTTAGTCGTGTGTTTATGGGAAACCTAGTCAAAGAGCTACAAATTACTACCCATCAAAAAAATCTCAAGTTTCTGAAAATCTTTTTGTTTGGTCAGAACATTGGAAAAGGTTTTTCTATTTTTAGGAAACAAATCCTTAAGAAAGAGAGAGGAGACTAGTCTCTGCCATGCACTTCTCAGTGCAGAGTGAAGCAAGAGCAAAATTTCCTTCAAGCCAAAACATTTGCAGTTTTCCCAAATGAAAACAAAAGCAATTGGAGTATGAGTATTAGAGTGTTAATTGCATTAATTGGAAAAAAAAATGCTACTTGAAAAACAAATCAAAGAATTCAAATTAAAAGATACCCTTCAAAATTTTGTTTTTATCTTTTGCATAGTACTTTGCACATCAGTAGTGTAAACACTTGTATGTGCCATCCTATGTATCTGTAGGATGAGGAAGCTGAGTGTCTTCTTATCTAAGCTTATTATTTTGTAAGATACACGTATCTTGCATAATACACAAGGGTGGTTGGACCTAGGAGCTCTTTGACCACATTAGTTTGGCCCTTTGCCAAGCATGAGAAAACCATACCAAAGGGGTGGTTTTACTTTTAAGAGTCAGCTTTGCTCTGCTTGGCTACCTTGTAATATTTTATAAGGCATCGTGTTCCTGCTCACAGCAGCCTCTCGGATGTGCCTCTAGTCCCGTGGTGTTTCAAGTTAAAAGGGCAAGATCTTTTTTTTTTTTTTTTTTTTTTAGTTTAGCTTCCTTAAAGCAAAGTACCGAAGTCCTGTGGCTGTATGGAAATGGGGAAGTCATATGGATGGAACGTCCTAGGATGCTCTTCAGCTACTCTATCAGCGGCTTAATAATTTTACTCAGAGCCTAAAATCTGTTGTTGGCAGGCCATGCTGAAAGACCATCAAAGCCAAAGCAAAGCTGGTGATAGGAGTTCAGTAGCTGGTGCATTTGATGGTCATCCACAGGTAGCATCAAAAGCCTAAAGATATTGGTGATGAAGAAGAAACCAACTGTTGTTTTACTGGACACTGATTATACAAGTTTGCTGAAGCAGCCAAGTGGCATCCAAAAATCTAGCTAATGACTCAAGCCCCATAGTGTCCAAGAACAGAATTGTCTTTTTCTTCAGACACACATTGTAGTAGTTAACAGCAGAGTGGGTGATGTGGCCATGTTTGTTTACCCAGAAAGCTACATCCTGTAGGGAATTTAAATTGTTTTTATGCAGCAACAGTTTGTGAGAGATGTAGTTGTGAATACAAAGTATGTTTGTTGCTTTGAGCTCTATCTTGCGCTGACCACAGTGACACTGAAATAAAGATACAGAACAAGGTAAAAGGGAGGAAGCACAACTGCTTGGCTTGCAAATAACAAATAGCATCAAAATAATATCAAATTAGGAAATTTAGTTTTCTCCCATTACTTTTCTATGTGATAAGGTGATATAAAACCACTACGTTCAAATTAGGGACAGATGATCATTATGAAATTAATAGTTTTACCAGAGTGAGCTCATCACTGTGGTTTAGGAAGCCTTTCAGTTTAAAAGGGAACAGCAGTTGATGACAAGAACATAAAACAAAGTAAAACCTAAAGTAAAACTTCAAATGTTTTACAAGTACTTCCTTTTTGAAGTCCTACCATTTTCATGGTTTTTATTTTTCTAATTACTTCAGTAAATTATGTAGGTCAGAATCTAGGATGCAGTGAAAACATAGTGAAAATATTATTTGATTTTCAGATATGGCAAGATGTTAAACAAGGCAACTTCCCCAGGAGCTTCAGTAACAAATTTCCATCAGAGGTATAGTATTTTAACCAATTAGTTCGTTTGATTTCTTTATTTACTCAAAAATAATAATCTATACTGGCTTCTTTTTCTTATAACCTAATTTCTTTTTCTGCAGGCACCCATGATCAAACAGATGCTTTCAGCAGATCCCCACAAAAGACCTTCTGCTTCTCAGTTACTTAAGTTTGTTAAGCATGCTGTTGAAGACAAGCCATGGAGAGCTTATACTCACTAAATGCCATTTCAAAAGACTTTTAAACTTGCTTAAAGTGTTTTGATACTGTGGAAACATTGCATAAGAAGCAAGACTTAACTCTTCTTGGTATTTAGTCCTCCTGCCATTTATCACAGTCTGAGAAGCTCAGTGGCTGAAACACTATCACCATTCACTGTCATCAGCTGCAAATCAAGACATTCCCCCAGTGCATTCCTGTAGATATTATGTGTGATTTTTTTTCATTTGTTTTTTTAGTCTACAGCCATAGGTTATGGATGAGATGATCTGTGTTCCTTAGTATGAACCTTGCCTTTGGCTTCTAGAAGATCAAGCTGATGTAGTGCTGATTTGTGACAGCTGCCTCTATGCCTGTTCTTAAGACATGCCGCATCCTCTGTGAGTTGAGGTCATCTATTGCTTTCTGTGAGAAGAATTGCTTTCGTCAGGCATGGGAATCAAAATATTTGGATTTGTTCATGGTGACGTTCTTACTACAACTACCAGCATGCACACTTTGAGACCACAGGAGGTGATGTGTTGAACTGAAAGGAAAGACTTTTAAGAGCAAAACAAAATTAGAAAGATGTTCATGCTCTTAAAATAAGCGTCCAACTTACTTTAATGGGCAGTGTGTTCTAGGTGACCTTGCTTGAGCAGTGGGGGCTGGATTGGATGATCTCCTGTGTGGCTGCTTCCAATCTGAACTAATCTGGGATTCTGTGAAATGTTCCTTGAGAATTTAGTGGTTGAACAACCACTTTTGGAAATCTAGTTTAAAAATAACAACTTCTGAATATTTTTTTTCCTGAATGGAACACTTAGGTACTCTGAAATACAGAAATTCTTTCTAGATTTTTCTCTGTAATAATAATTTAAAATCTTTTTCTTAAGAAAGCACTTGAAAAAGAGCACCTGAAGTATATCTATTGTTAGTTTTTATCCTTCTTGTAATACCAAAGCACGTGTAATGTTTTTACCAAGTGTTCTAAACACCTCTAATGGCTACATTTTGTGTGAATGAGAGAAGAACTATGTGGTTTCTGTCTTAGGCTTTAGTTAAAGCTTCTCTTGAGAGTTCTGAGTTGGAAGAACTTGAGGTGGGGAGAAATAGGAAAAAAAGAATAATTAGCCTTTCAGATACTTGTCTGAGCTGTGATCCCCTGTCCCCAAAACCATTCATAGCTGGGCAATCCACCAGAATTCATAACAGAGAAATGAGCAGAGATTTCTAAGCAGAAAAAAATAGGTAAGCGATGTAAGAGCTTAAAATACTGTATGATTTCAAAATTAAAAATCGGTGTCTGGTTAAAAGTAAGAGTGGATTTTTTTTTCTCTTCACAACTCCATACAGCACACTTGAGGACTACTTCCTCTTTCCTTGCACCTCAACATTAAGAGAGGAATAATACCTTGATACAGGCAAAGTGCACCACTTGTTGGACTTCCTTCTCCCTTTCCAAACTCTCAAAATTACTTTTATACAATGAAAATTGGTACACCTTACACTATGAAAAGTGGTAAGCAGCAAGGTTCAGATTTATTTATTTATTTTACAATTCAGGGCCAGAATACCTATGAACTTGTATTACTTCTTACTGCTGGATAATACTGAGCTTTTCCCAACACTGAGGGATTTATTCTGTAGTGGTCTGCATAATTCAGTACTTTGTATGAGTGGGTGTTTACAAGAGCTGTTGCCATTCTGTAAGAACAATAACAAAAGTAATATTTATTTAACGTACCCCAAGATTCTACAAAATGCCACTTCTAGATACAGGAGAATATCAGTTTTAATGTCACTGTAGTATTTCACAAACTTTTTTCACCAGCTCAAGGAAAGTGGAAGAAAATAAACTCACAGCATAAGTGTACAGCCATTTTTGTAAAGATATATTTAAAAACAAACACACACTTGTTTTAACTAGTTATCCATTTAAAGTATGATAAGCTATCCCCTCATTTAAACCTGTATCTTACTGTTAGCTGATCTTGCTCCAGCCAGGGCAAGTGAAGACTGTTAAAACTCTTACTTGCCTCTAAATAGTGGAAACAATAGTGGAAACAGAAATTTTTAAAACTCCGATTAAATTGTTAATCAAGCCGAAATTACATAGAATGCTTCAGAAACGTACAGTTTAAGCTGTCAACCTTCTTCTTCTGCGGGCTTTGTATGGGGTCTTCTGAGTCTAGCAGAGCATTATATATATTTTTTTTTTAAAAAAAAAGTTTATTAACTATATACATATTTATCTAGAATTCTTTTCTTGAGGAAGACTTCAGTCATGGTCTGCAGCACTGTCTCCTGGGCAGTTTGAAGATAAATCTTCAGCATCTACAGCATAAGCAGAGAAAAAGTCAGTGATTCCAAGTAAGAGGGGACACTAAAAAGATTCTCAGAAGTTATAGATTCTGTAAAAGCAGATTAAATAAAAATTCATGAAGGTTTGCAAGTTTGACACTAAGGTTACTTGCATTATAAATTCCAAAATATATTTTAAAACAAGGAAAACAAATGAGCTTAATTCTTCCCTCTTTGCTGCAATGAGAAGGGATAGTGTGTTCTAGTGTTTTCAGAAATATCTGTAAGCTTTCACAGATTTTATGGTATAGTGTTAATATCTGATTTTTTTCCAAAACCAAACAAATCTGAGCACTAATTCAAATAAATGCCAGTATTTGTGTTTTGGACATGCCAACACCTCAGAACTGTCTTAAAATCCTAGCTTACCAAGCCTAGTGCAGAAACAGCAACCTGGAAGGAAAATTTGGTGGGTACATTTTAAAGACTGCCATAAAAAAAACAGCAATATACTGTGTGTATATATACTAGGTAGTGTATACACACACATCAGTACTCTTATGCATTGACATAATTACGTAGTGTTAACAGAGGGGAGCTTCCATCTCTCTCGCAGCACATGCTGTGCTCACTAAGTGCTGAGCACACAACCGTGTGAATTTTTTCTAAACCAGCTAGCAGAACAGAAAAACAGCTCTTCAGGTAGCACAGGCCCAGGGGAAGGATGTTTTTGTAGGAAAATCTCTCTAACAAAGTTAAGATATCCAGTACCAGCCATCTGCATTAAGGTAAAGGTAATGCGGGTAAGGAAACTGAGTTAGACCCCATGGGCTGCTCTCCGATTCTGGACCTCAGAAAAGGGCAAGTGGCTGAGTAGAACAAGTTAGAGATGTGCAGGGATCATGACTAGGGCACTGTCCTTGGTGAAAGCATGACAAGGTAAAGAATAAGTATATATCATTCTCCTTGAGATTAAATACATAACCAAAACAGAGCATTGCTCTCACCTTCGTAGGTTATGCCACACCAAATGCAGTAAAAATGTTCTTCTCTTAAATAAGCAGTCAGGAGCTGTAACTTTTCTGATACCTAGAAGTATTTACAAAAACACAATGATCATGATATAAATTATATAAAATGTTAGGAACTATTGCCTTTGCTGAAGTGCACTGTTTTCCTTAGCAAAAGGTTGAAGTCAAAAGCTTCTAAAATGCTGCCCAAGACATGAGGCATCCAAAATTAAAATTTCAAAGCAAATGACTTGGTATTCACTAAATAAATGATTTTGCAAAATCTTGTCTAAAGCATAAAAGTGTTTAGAATTTCATCTCTACAGTACTTTTTTCAAAGTACTCTTTCAAAGTTCAAAACAGATCACCAATAAGAAAGTGTTTTAATGTTTTGAATTTCATATAATTGTTGTAAAAATATTTGCTGCAAGATTGCAGAGAGGCCATTCTAATTCTAGCAGAACTTACACTGAACTCTGAACTTGTGCATTCGTCTTCTTTCTCTTCTTCATCCTTGTTCTCTTCCTCTTCAGGTTCTATCCAATACCAAATCTCCTTGGGAACATCAATATCCTTAATAATGAAAGATTTAAAGAAAATTACCTCCTCTGTAGGTTCTCCTATAAGATACTAGATAAAACTCAATTTCTAGTAGATGAGAAAATTTAGAATTTTTAAAATTTTAAAATTTTCTTACAAACTATATTCAAGAATTATCAAAGTTGCAGTATAAAATTATGTACAGCAGTCCCCAGAAAGGGTTATTAACTTTTGACAAATGTAAACGCAGATTACTATTAACTTTTACACCACTGATGTACAGTATGTCTAAGGCTACACAGGAACATGATCTCACACCCAGGCTGTGCACAGTTACCCTTTCTAGATCTGCTATTATCAGCTGAGGACGTCACCTCTTTTAGCAAGTTCTTTTAGCAAGAAACTCCAGCCCACAGAAGTGCATCTGTCCCACCTTTTGCATATCCAACTGCTGGCAGGCCCTCTGGCTTTTTCGGAGGTCCCCTTCCATTTTACGTTCCTCTTGTTTGTTTTTGAATCTTGTTCTGTTAAGAAAAAGTAACTAGCTAAAATGAGCATGCAGATAAAAACAGTGAGATGTGCTACAAAGCTTTTTCCAAATAGAAACTCTGTTAACATCTCAGCCATAAAATCCCCTCAGATTACTGTAATCAGACCAGAGAAGACAATCCTAAGCCTCTTCCAACATTGTTTCTGTAGGAATATGCACATACTTCTCAAGAATGATACTGTTAAGTTATACTTCCCAGATAAACCTTTGATCACACTATACCCTCTGCTGTTTCTACACCAGGTTTCCACAAGACATGAAAAAGTGGTAATGAAGCATTTGCAAAAAAATATGGCCTTCCCAGGGTTTTCCTTCTCCACACATAAACAAGCAGATCACGGAAAAACAAACCTAAAAAAAATTCTGATTTTTAATTAGTTCTAAATGAAAAACAGTGTGCCAATACTGTACTGATAGGGTTCTCTGATGTGGTTCCCCTCTCCAAAAAAGCTAATTGGTTCTCTGACTTGAAAAGCTGCAAATGTTTTATTCAGAGAGAAACAAACAAACAAACAAACAAAAGAGTATGTATATTGCATTACTAACAAAAATACATGAATATTGCGGTGTTCATCCGCTTTTGCTTTAAAACTGAGAAGCAATTACAAAATTTGAAACAAAGTATGAAACAAATTCTTCTCTATCAAACAACATTCAGAATTAGCAACACTCTGAAAGAATAATCAAGCCTAAAGCCTAAGAAGAATGGCCCTATAGACACTGCTTGGAGTATTAATTACATAATTTTACCTGAACTGATCTGCAGCCTGTTCATTTGCTTTCTTTTTCATATGGAGTTTTTGTCTGTAGCTTTCTAGTTTTTCTTCAGCTTTTCGCTTTTTGAATTCCTCATGACCAAGCCCACTTCTGCCTGTTTTATGTTCAAAATATGAATGTAAGCAGCTGAGAAGCTCTGGTAATAAGTAAATAAATAAGTCAAATAAGTAAATTAGGAAGCACCACACACCTGTTTTTATGTTCAGAGGAATAGGTTCAACAATGCCTTCTCCTGTGGGGGACAAAATAGGCAATTTAAGAAACGAGGTCTCTTCCAAACCACAAATGCAATATATTCAAGGAGGCAAATGACTTTTATTATTACACTTTTGAGACTTCTTGAAATTTTGTTGTTTGGAAATTAATATCTTGCATCGATATATGCTTTGGGTACTAGAAATAACCCAGCTGAACTGCAAATCCCTTTATTTCATGGCCTGTTTGAGTGCTATGTGCTGTTTACAGGACAGTTCCAAACTGAAAGAAACAGCACTGATTTGACAGGTGCAATACACCCGTGAGCAACAATATCTTGCTACATTCTGCTGTAGACGACTCACTCCAGAATCTCATGACTTGACAAACATCAACACTATAAAGAATCGGAATCTGCCAGAAATGGCCTACCAAGCATTGATGTTTTTTTCTGATCGATTTAAAATTTCTTCTACTGCAGCTTCACAGCCAGTGTGAAGTGTGTGAAGTGAAACCAGCATTTTCTTCAGAAGCCAACTATAAATTTAAGTGTGCGCGTGTTGAGGGAAAATGACTTTTTTGGAGCCTTACAAGACCAGCAAAACAAATTCCTCCTGCAATTTCTGCATATTATCACGCACCTACGGGAATGCCCCTTGGCTGGCAAGAAGTGCTGCTGCCTGCCTCCCTCGGCAGGTTCCTCAATAGCCCAAACCAGTTCTATTTCAGTTCTTGGATATCGTTTCATCGTGTGTTCTGCCTCGGCCCGCTGGCAGGTCAGCGTTGGCTCTGTGGCCCTGCCTGTAAGTGCTGTGTGAGCTACAGCCCGTTTGGAAAGAAGCCGCATCTGCGTCCAGGAGCACAACTCACCGCTTTTGCCCAGGGCCTGGCCGCTCTTGTAGCCCATCTTCTGGAGCAACGCGAAGCCTCTGTTCTCGTTGCCCAGCGCGCTCCTCAGCACCTCCTCGCGCCTCTCTTTTTCCTCTTCTTTTACGCTCTTTTGCCTGTTCTTCTCGTTGGCTTCTTTCTGCTTCTCTTCCTTCTGAATGGCCTCCCTCACGCGCCTCACCATGGGCAAGCCGGGCCTGACGTCCTGCCTGGGGACAGACAACCCCAGCGAACGTTAAACCCCGGGCCTTTTTGTTGGTGCTTCACAGCTTCCACTCACCACAAGGGAGAGAAAACCACAAACACCCACTTACTTGATGAACGAATCGGACATGTAATCCTCCTCTTCGTCTTCCTCCATGCTGGACACGCATACCCCTTTCCACACCGTCGGGCTATAAACGCTGCAATTAAACAATTGCAAATTAAAAATAAATAAATAAATAAATAAAAATAGATGCAGACCACACGCAGTAGAATTTATTTTTGGTCTTTGTTTGCTTCCGCGAGCCCCCAGCGCGGCCCCCACCTCGCCGCAGCCGCCGCCCCGGACCGAG